TCCCCGAAGACCGACACAACTTCTCAGAAGGCGCGAGGGCTTCTGAGAAGTCCCGCCGCCTTCCGAGACGGCCTTCTCCCTCTCCTTTCCCACCTCGCTCGCCGCCAGTTCCTGGGTCGGCACCGGACCCCGTCCGTTCGACCTCTGGCGCGCGCCGCGCGCCAGGGGAGGGGAGCCCCGGTGCGGAGCTCACGCCACGGAGCTCATCGCCAATGGGGTCGGCCTGCTGTGCTGTGTCGTGGGCGGGTGTCGCCCCCGTGAGGGGAAGCAAATTTACCCTGGGGGGGTGAAGACAGAGCATAACAATTCAAGCAGTGGTGGCGAGGCGTCCTGGCTCGCCTGTAGCCCTACCAGACAATGTTCTAAGAACATGTTGTGGTTTCCACGAGATGTTCTTAGAACATTTCTGGTTGATGTTGTTTTGTTTTAACACATGGGGTTATGTTCTAAGAACAATTTTATTACTCTTACAACATTTGTGGGTTCTAAGAACGCTTCGTGGTAGGACTATAGGAATGCTGGGACGGTCGGTCCCTGCTCAAACAATAGGAAACTGGGGTCGGCTAATCCCCTCCGATCCCCTCTGGCTGCCCTGGGTTTGGGAGCCACGAGAAGCCGGCCTCCCTTCCGCCCTTCCGCCGACCCAGGTTTCGGAGTTGCCTTGAGGCCGGCTGGGTTTGGAGCCGGGACCCGGGTCAACGCGGCCCCGATGGGAGCAAATTCACCGGAATGGCAGTTGGAGCACCCTTTTTCCGCCGCCTTGCGACACAATGTTGAGCAGAAGGAGCACTTGGGGAGGAAGACTTGGGAGAGGACGAGAAAGGAGGACAAAAAAGAAGAGGAAGAGGAGGAGGAGGAGGAGGAGGAAGAGATGCGGCCTCCCGAGGCCCTCTTAGGGCCTTTTAGGGTCTTCCCGTGGGCGTGTAGGTGAGTACCTGCTTGCGCGACGTCCGGATTTCTTTTCTGGTGCCTCGCCGGGCCGCCGCCCCCCCTCGGTGCGAGCAAGCCGGCCGCGGTCTCAAGAACAATGCAGTCTCCAGCGCGGGAGGGGGGAGGAGCACGAGCGATGCTCGAGGGTCGATGTTTTGGATCGGCTTGCTTCCCTCTGACTCGGGGCCGAGGATTTCCAGAGGCCTGGCTTCTAGAGTCGGGCCGGACGGAAGGGGGGGATTGGGAAAGGGGGGGTTACCAAATTTGCTGCATGCAGCTGGTTTCTGCCTCACCGAGGGGGCCATTCCTCGATACATAGCCGCCTCCGGCGCCGGGAGGCGCCGGGAAAATCAGCTACGTGAGCTGATTCTCAAACCCCCCCCTTTGCTATCCCCCCCCTTTCGCCCGAATCGATAGAGGCCTCTGCAGGCGCCTTCGCAGACTTCCAGAGGCCTCTGGGGATGGGGGAGGGTCGCTCGGGCAGTCGGAGGTCTTCGGAGGTACCCAAGATGCGGGCTACAGCCGGGGGAGTGAAGCATTCAGTATCATGCCACAGCCCCAATCAAGCAGTGGCGAAGCGTCCTGGCTCGCCTATAGCCCTACCAAACAATGTTCTAAGAACCTTGTGTGGTTCCCACGAATTGTTCTTAGAACATTCCTGGCTGGGGCTGTCTTGGTTTCACACATCCGGAACATGTTCTAAGAACATTGTTTTTGCTCTTAGAACGCTGTTGGGTTTTAAGCACATTTCGTGGTAGGACCATGGGAATGCCGGGACGGTCGGTCCCTGCTCAATTCGGGAGCCTTGAGACGGGGGTCATTGCAAACGGGGGTCAGCCAGGGCGCCAGATCCTGCAGGATCCTGCGAAGACCCCCTCTGGCTGACCCGGGTTAGCGAGCCGTTCGTGGCCGCAAGGCGGCCGCACATATTGGCTGACCCGGGTTTGCGAAGACCTGCGTTGCAGTTTTTGTTTCCTGCATTGCAGTTTTTGGTTTCCTGCTGACCCGGGTCTGGATTGACCCGGGTCAGAAGATCCCCGATCAATTCAATATCATGCCACAGCCCCAAATTTCCTCACGTCGGGCTCAGCCCCGTCTCAGGCACACGAAGTCGAGGGGGAGGACGTTGACAGTGTGAACAGGCAACGGCAACGAGACCCAGGAGCCTCCAGGGGCCACCAAAAGGAACAATGCACGTTCGCAAGGCACAATTGGGGCTCCAGAGGCCGTCGAGCAAAAGGTCGACGAAGTTATCGCCCTCGGCGCAGATACAGAGCCGGAGAAGAAGAAGAAGAAGTTGGGACTTTCCTCGAAGACCAACTCAGTTGCGGAGGAGGGGGCCGGCCTTTTTCCCGGAAAGGGCTCGAGCCCAGGGTTCTCTTTTAGATGGTTTACCCGCCGGTTTCGACGGCTGTAGGGCCAGCGAAATTATTCTGCGATAAATTACGTGCGGGAGTAGGGCCGGCGGAATTATTTTTGAGGATGTCTCGAGCGAAACGCTTGTTTTTCAGAATGTGTTGAGGATGTCTCGAGCGAAATGCTGGTTTTGCAGAGTTGGGGATGTCTCGAGCGAAACGCTTGGTTTCAGAATTTGTTGAGGATGTCTCGAGCGAAACGCTGGTTTTGCAGAGCCGACCGCGACACACGAAAAAGCGCCCCTCGCGCAGGAATTCTGAGGATGTCTCGCGCGTGCCGCGTCCCGCGCGCAGGAATTTAGATTTCTTTGGATTTTGACAGGATGTCTCGAGCGAAACGCTTGTTTTTCATAATTTGTTGAGGATGTCTCGAGCGAATCGCTGGTTTTGCAGAGTTGGGGGATGTCTCGAGCGAAACGCTTGCTTTTCAGAATTTGTTGAGGATGTCTCGAGCGAAACGCTGGTTTTGCAGAGTTGGGGTATCTAACATGGCGTCGGGCCCAACGCCGAATTATGAGGAAAAGTGATGGCTTCTTGCTCTGAACAGGGGGGTGCGCTTTGGGGGCCTCTCCAGGGAAGACGTTGTGAGGATGTCTCGAGCGGGAGCGCGAATTCAGCGTATCCAAGTCACGCAGAGGGGTATCTAACATGGCTGTCCCGAGCTGGAACCACGTGTTTTTTCATGCTCAGGCCACCCAGGGAGATCTCTAACATGATTGTCCCGAGCTGGAACCACGTGTTTTACGTGTCCAGGCCACCCAGGGGGTATCTCTCATGGTTGTCCCGAGCTGGCACCGTGTTTTTACGTGTCCAGGCCACCAACACGACGCTTGTCCCCAGCACGTTCTGTAGCGCGTCCCCTTGGCACGTCTCGCGGTGCGTTCCCGTGGCACGTCCCCTGGCACGTCGCCTGGCGCGTCCCTTGGAACGTTCCGCGGCGCGTCCTCCTGGCATAATTCCTTGTCAATCAGCTCTGCGGCAGCTACTTCGTGGACTATGTGCTCAGGCAGCTCGAGCTTAAGATCCAGATCAGTTCGGTCAGGACTCGGATGCAACGGAGGACTTGATCCACAACGCTGTAGAGCACAATCGCGGCATGGCACATCGCAGTTCAGCACGGCGCAGCACAGCACAGCCCTCGGCACATTACATCAAGATCGGTACACTCACTCAGCATTGCAACTTGGCACGTTCTTTGGCACGTTCCGTGGCGCGTCCTGTGGCGAGTCCCCCTGGCACGTCGCGCGGCGCGTCCCCTGGCACGTCCCGTGGCACGTCCATAATGCATTGGCACGTTCCGTAGCGCGTCCCCTTGGCACGTCCCGCGGTGCGTCCCCATGGCACGTCCCCTGGCACGTCGCCTGGCGCGTCCCTTGGAACTTTCGGCGGCGCGTCTTCCTAGCATGCCCCCCGTGAATTAGCTCTGGGGCAGCTACTATGTGCTTAGACAGCTCGAGCTTAAGATCCAGATCAGTTCGGTTAGGACTCGGATGCAAAGGAGGACTCGATCCACAACGCTATAGAGCACACTCGTCACGTGGCACATCGCAGTTCAGCACGGCGCAGCACAGCACAGCCCGCGGCACGGTACATCAAGATCGATACACTCACTCAGCATTGCAACTTGGCACGTTCTTTGGCACGTTCCGTGGCGCGTCCTGTGGCGAGTCCCCCTGGCACGTCGCGCGGCGCGTCCCCTGGCACGTCCCGTGGCACGTCCATTGGCACGTTCCGTAGCGCGTCCCCTTGGCACGTCCCGCGGTGCGTCCCCGTGGCACGTCCCCTGACACCTCGCTTGGTGCGTCTCTTGGCACGTCCCGTGGCACGTCCATTGGCACATTCCGTAGCGCGTCCCCTTGGCACGTCCCGCGGTGCGACCCCATGGCACGTCCCCTGGCACGTCGCCTGGCGCGTCCCTTGGGACGTTCTGCGGCGCGTCCTCCTGGCATGTTCCCTTGTCAATCAACTCTGGGGCAGCTACTAGTTATGTGCTTGGGCAGCTCGAGCTTAAGATCCAGATCAGTTCGGCCAGGACTCGGATGCAAAGGAGGACTCGATCCACAACGCTATAGAGCACACTCGTGGCATGGCACATCGCAGTTCAGCACGGCACAGCACAGCACAGCCCTCGGCACGGTACATCAAGGTCGATACACTAAGCATTGCATTTGCCCGTCGCCCAATCAGGTGTCTTTGAAACGTTGCCATGTCTTACATTTCTATATTCCTTTCCGGGTTCGTGGGCCGATCATGTTAAGTGCACTGCCGCTGCGGTAGGGCTGCAACGACTCGTCGATGGGTGCGTTCAGAGCACCCGTGAGGGGCAGCGGATCGTTCGGTGTCCGCTCCCATCGTCTCCCTCCACCGACAGTGCGGAGGAGAGGTTCATGCGTCAGGAGGTGGGAGCAGGGGAGGCGGAGGAGGAGGAGGACAAGGAGGCGGAGGAGGCGGAGGAGGGCGGAGGGGGAGGAGGGCGGAGGAGGAGGAGGGGTGAGGAGGAGGAGGAGGAGAAGGAGGAGGAGGAGGCGGAGGAGGAGGAGGAGGAGGAGGAGGAGGGAGGAGGAGGAGGGAGCGAGGAGGGAGGAGGGAGCGAGGAGGGAGCGAGGAGGGAGCGAGGAGGGAGCGAGGCGCAGGGCGGGCGCCTCGCTCCGCCAGAAACGCCTGAGCGGCCTGGAGCGCCAGATGGAGGCGAACGCCGCGGCGGAAGCCGCGAGGCGGCAGGAGCCCGGCAGTAAGTCGGGCCTGTCCCTCTACAGGGGGGATATCAGGAGGGAACAAAAAACACACAGACACAATTAATCGTCGATTCCCCCGAAAATATGGGAAAACATAGGAAGTGGGGGAGAAAACAACCCAGAACATATGGGAAAATATGGGACATCCTCTTATTTGTGTTTATTTATTTGTGTGTCCCAGGGCCCCTTCAGGATAGTCAAAACATAGCCTCGTGGAGCCGTATCGGGAGCACGTTGGGTATCGGGATAGTGCAGATATTTGCTATCTCCTGGAGGTGCTCGCGGGTAGCGAGTGGCACCGACACTCCCAATACGCTCCCCCACGAGATAGCACGTTACCAACAATAGTCAAAACATAGTCTGGGGATTCTTTTATTATTCAATCGCTTCGCTCATTCCGCCGGCCCATCTTGCATGATCGCTACTGCTTCGCCGTGGGCTCGGGGCCATTGTGGCGCCGCCGAGGAGGAGGAAGATGAGGATGGGGAAGAGGAGGGGAGGAGGAGGAGAGGATGAGAAGGAGAGGAGGAGGAGGAGGAGGAGGAGGAGGAGGAGGAGGAGGAGGAGGAGGAGGAGGAGGATGAGAAGAAGGAGGAGGAGGAGGAGGAAAGGGAGGGGGCGGAGGAGGAAGCCTCTCGTTGGCATCTTGTGTTGCTCTTGGGGTTAAACAGGGTCGTTGTCAAGATGCTTCATTGGGAGACCTCTTGGGGTCTTTTGAGAAGCCGTTCGGGGGCGCCTGGGAGGCATTTTTGAACCCTTGTATGGCCTGTTTTGAGCCTCCTTGGAGCCTCCTGGGGTCTCTTGGGGTCCTCTTGGCGGCATCTTGGGCCATCTTGGGGGCCTCCTGGGGCCGGCCCTCTTGGGGCGGAAGGCTCGAGGTTTCGGTTCGTGGTCCCCATCTTGGGCCCCTCTTGGGGCCGTCTTGGGGCTCTCTTGGGCCGTCTTGGGCGTCTCTTGGGCCGTCTCGGGGCCCGTTTGGGCTCTCTGGGGGCCTTCTTGGGGGCCTCTTGAGCCGTCTTCGTGCGCTCTTGGGGGCCTCATGGGCCGTCTTGGAGCATCGGAAAGCCGACAATGCGACAAGGCCAAAATCCTTCCAAAACCATTGTAAAATTTATGATTTTGGCCTCTCGGGGCGCTCTTATGCGGCCTCTTGGAGGCCACTTGGAGCGTTTTGGCGGCTTCTTGGGCCGTCTTAGGATCATCTTCGGCGTCTTGGAGCGTCCTTTGGGCGTCTCGGGGGCCTCTTGGGCAGTCTTGGGGGCCTCTTGGGGCCCTCTTGGCGCGCTCTGTGGGCCTGAGAGGCCGTACCCAGGAGGGAAACCATCTCTGAGTAGACCTTCCCGGGCTGCGGTCTGGGTACTTTTCGCCGGGGGACCCCCAGGGGCCGCCCCGCTCTCCCGAACTAGAAGAATTGTGAACCAGTTACCGGAGATCTTAGCACGCCTTTGGCCCGTTGGGCCGGCGAATTTATTATTATTTATTGGGTGTATGTTTTCACGATTGTTTTGGTGTTTTTGTTCTTTGGTGCAAAATCCTCCTGTGGGGGGACACGCCTGACTTGAGCCCAGCGTGCCGCTCGACTCCACGAAAGAGTGGCGCTTCGCTGGAGTAACCTTTGCTGCAGGCCCACTGTCGAGCAGTGGCGAAGCGTCCTGGCTTGCCCATAGGCCCACCAAACGATGGTATAAGAACCTTCTCTGGTCTGCACAACATGTGCTTAGAGCATTTCTGGCCGAGGCAGTCTTGTTTGAACGCATCGGAGTTATGTTCCGAGAACATTGTCTTCGTGCTTCGAACAGTTTTGGGTTCTAAGACTATGTTGTGGTAGGCCTACAGGAGTGCCGGGACGGTCGGTCCCTGCTCAGCACCGGGTCCCCCGGTCGCCGAACGGGATGCGGCAGTAGCGCCATGCGCGCTCGTGCTTGGTCCGCCCGCGGCCCTCAGGAAGCCGCGCACGAAAGGGCACCCTGACCCAGCGCCACTCCTAAGTACAGTCGAGCAGGCGAGACCGTCGCCGTCGTCGCCGCTGCCGCCGCGGTCGATCGATCGAGGGAAGAGGCCCACTTCTCAGAGAAGGAAAAGGTACCCATACCTCTACCCTTCCCTCGTTTTCCCCTTTTCGGGCCTCCTGAGAGGCCATCGTCGCCACCGCTGGATTCGCCCCGAAATTCTGGTCAGGACGCACCCCAGGAGAGGTCCGGGGAGTAGCGGTATTGGTACCTTTGATTTCCCCAATTTCGACCCGGTCCATCCGACTTGATGCCGATTCCGACCGACCCGATGTTCGTTCTATCCGATTCTAGCCCGACGCTTGCACGGCGCTGTTGTGCGTCCTGGCGCGGGTAGTCCAATTCGATTCCGACTCCGTGCCGATGTGGCCCACGATCTGGCTTACAATCCGATGCGATTCAATTTCACGATTCGATGTTGCCTGATCCTGGGGTCGATCGGCCTCTGTGCCTGGAGTCATGTGCCTCTTGGTGACAGCTGTGCGGGCCCATAACCCAGTCATCACTCATTCAGCAAGATTAGCGTGAGTAGTCGTTTTGGCGAGCACGAGTTCATTTTCTATTGTTACAGGAAGAACAATTATTGTTGACCCTCCCGGTAATAATTCTATGTGTTTCAATTTCAGTGCTCCTCCTGAGGATCCAACCCTGTGTCTTATTATTGAAATCCGTGGTCGCCAGACTGCGCCACTGGCCCCCAGTTTACAACAACAGCGGCTACCGCCCGATGTTTCCTCACAACGTATTTCAAGCTTGTGCTCTCGCGCGGGACTTCCTCAGCTTTATCCTAGCGTCGCAGTCTCGCTGCCCCCCTAGACTCAGGAATCACGCTCTGATTTACTTGGGAATCGCGTTGTGGCTCGAGACTTTTTCGCGACAAATGCAGGACGCGCGCTTCAGCAACCCGCCCGCTCGACCTGGCCGTCTGAGCCCGCCTGCACGACCTGCTCGTCAGGGTCCGCCCGCCCGACACGCCAGGATGGTTCTACCGCTCCTGCTGCTGCAAGACCTGCAAATTTCTCTCGTGCTCCAGCCTTCTCCTTCCCTCTTTCCCCTGTATTAGTGGCTGCGCCAGCTGCACGCGGCAGGTAGGGAACATATACCCCCAAGAGGGGGTGCGATCGAAGACGAAGAGGGCGGGTACCGAGGGTTTGGTATATACGTGTTGATTGGCGCGAGAGCAGGTAAGAGCGACCAGTCTTCAAATCATGCTTGTTGTTATTGTTGATGTTGTTGATGTTGTTGTTGCCGTTGTGGTTGTTGTTGAACTCTCACTACTGAAGAATAATGATTGTTGATCCCCTCCAGTAGCATATATGTTTTTCAATTTAAGTGCCCCTCCTTGGGCTCGCACCCTGTTTCTAACTGTGGAGAACATTCCTGCTCAAATTGTGCCCCTGGCCCCTGACATACAACAACAACGGCTCCCGCCTGATCCTCGCAATTCACAGGAATCGCGCTCTCGCCAGGGACTTCCTTGCAATGTATTCAAGAATCTTACTCTCGCTTGCGAATTCTTCGCAATTTATTCAGGCGTCACGTCCTCGCAATTCAGGAATCGCGCTCTCGTCTAGGACTACCTCATAATTTATTTAAGAATCGCTCTCTCGCCCGAGACTTTCAGGCGCATTATGCAGGACTCACGCATTCGCGTAACATCGTAGTTTGGGGGGTGAGATCGCAGTGGAACGGAGAGCCCCAACCGGGAAATCGTTTCGTTTCGTTCGTGTTGTGCGTGCGGGCGAGGCGAAGTTGCGTGGGCGCGCGAGAGGAATGAACCCGCGGTTGCTAGGGCGAAGTCAAGACAAATGATTCTTTCCCGCCCGCCCGCCCGTTCGGCGGTAGCTCTCGGTGTCCCGCGGTGTCCCGTGGTGTCCCGTGGTGTCCGCCGTTGTCAGGGCGAAGTCAAGACAAATGAATCTCCCCAGCCCGCTCGCCCGCCCGTCCGGCGGTTGCTCGCGGTGTCCCGCGGTGTCCCGTTGTGTCCTGTGGTGTCCGCCGTTGTCAGGGCGAAGTCAAGACAAATGATTCTCCCCCGCCCGCCCGTCCGTCCGTCCGTCCAGCGGTGGCTCGTGGTGGCTCGCGGTGTCCCGTGGTGTCCCGTGGTGTCCCGTGGTGTCCCGTGGTGTCCCGTTGAGTGAAATCGATACTGAGATCGATATTGAGATCGATACTGAGATCGATACTGAGATCGGTGTGGTGTCCCGAGGTGTCCCGTGGTGTCCCAAAAAGTGAGATCGATAGTGAGATCGATTTTGAGATCGACAAGTGTCCCGTGGTGTCCCGTGGTGTCCCGTTGAGTGAGATCGATAGTGAGATCGATAGTGAGATCGATGTGGTGCCCCGAGGTGTCCCGTGGTGTCCTATGGGTGTTCCGTTGAGTGAGATCGATCGTGAGATCGATAGTGAGATCGATGGTGAGATCGTTAGGTGTCCCTTGGTGTCCCGTGGTGTCCCGTTGCGTCAGATCGATAATGGGATCGATAGTGAGATCGACAGGTGTCCCGTGGTGTCCCGTGGTGTCCCGTTGAATGAGATCGATAGTGAGATCGATAGTGTGATCGATAGTGAGATCGATGTGGTGACCCGAGTTGTCCCGTGGTGTCCCGTTGAGTGATATCGATAGTGAGATCGATAGTGGGACCGATAGTGAGATCGAGAGGTGTCCCGCGGTGTCCGGTGGTGTCCCGTGGAGGCCCGTGGTGTCCAGTGGTGTTCCGTTGAGTGAGATCGATAGTGAGATCGATAGGTAGATCGACAAGTGTCCCGTGGTGTCCCGTGGTGTCCTGTGGTGTCCCGTTGAGTGAGATCGATAGTGAGATCGATTGAGTCAGATGTTGGTTTCATCCCTCTCCCCCTCCCACAACCTCCTTATCACCCGCACGGTGGTCGTGTAGGTATATTTTGTAATCGCGCTGTCGCTCATTGCCCTTCCCTCGCGTTTCATGCAGGACCCATGCTTCAGCAACCCGCCTGC